CAGCACAGTGATATATATATATATATATATATATATATATATATATATATGGCCAATTTGACAGTTCTTTGCCAGTCTATGCATATGAAATCTCCAGCTATTATGATCAAAGTATTTAGATCAGGGGTGTCAAACACACTTCCTGGAGGGCCGGAGCCCTGCAGAGTTTTGATCCAACCCTGCTCCAACACACATACCATGTAGTTTTCAAATAAGCCTGAAGGACTTGATTAGTTGGATCAGGTGTGTTTAATTAGGGTTGAATCTAAACTCTGCAGGGCTCTGGCCCTCCAGGAATTGAGTTTGACACCCCTGATTTAGATAAAGAAGTGCAGTCAGATGAGAAGTTAAATATATGCATGTATCTGTTTTACTTGAGGTTTCTAGAGAGTTTAAAAAGGCTACACAGCAGCTGAATGACACATGACCACAAAACATGTCTTGCAATGCATTTTCCAACATGCGACCACTGTATTTTTCATGCAAATAATGGAGAGACCCTCTTTTCTGGATAGCTGGCCAGTGGGGGCATGACATTAAAAAGCAGGAAACATTGATTATTGAAGAACTTGCGCTTCAGAATTTGATTCCAGTTATTTGGCTAAGAATCATTCAACAATAATGAACTTTTCCTCCAACTGATGCAACCTAATGTAAGTGGATTATATCTGCACACTGAGCCATTTAAGACATTTAAAAATTAAGGCCCATTCACAGCAAAAACAATAACTATAGAGATACCAATGCACGGTAATGTTGTTTATTACAACCATGCATTGCAGTTCTGTTGTCTGCCGCAAAGTGATTTCAACTATATCTCTCCTTATCATAATAGTTGCAGTGTGGACTCTGCTCTTCTATTAAATTTAGAATGACTTTTAAAAATATATCTTTATCATTATCGTCCTTGGTATGAACGGGCCTTTACACTGAATTTACTGGTTTAAATAGTCTGAATATCTCCATTTTGTCATCACTTTGCTACACAGGCCAATCATATGCTAATATCATAACTTTCAAGCATCGCTGAGACATTGATTTCATTTACAAGTCTCTGTGAATATGAGAAGGCACAATAAGCAACTGATTTTTAAAGAGCTCACATAGATTCAGGGACAGTTACAAAATATCAATATCATCTACAGCTAGTTAGTATTTTAGAAAGCTACTACATTCTCATTATTTAGAAGTCTGATGTATCTTTTAAAATTTTCATGTGGCATTTTGGTTGAGTGCAGCCAGCTGTTGGCAGATGGGACGGCACATGGAGTGTAAAGTTGAGGCAAAGCACACAGCAAACCCACAGTCTTGTTCATGCACAAAGTCACTACCATTACCAATGAGGGGATGTGCCAGGGGCCACAGGCGCATGGGGGCCACAATACACTACATAAGATCTGGCTAATAGCTCTACTTCTGTACATGCTACATATCTTCACCCACTCTCTTCACAATTTAGACTGAATCCATCTGCTAGACCCTGAAACTCACTCATGACCCCTGACCTCTGACAGTGGCCAGTTTTCATCCTTCTTTCCTTCTTTTCCATGATAAAAGTCACCCTTCAGGGGACATTGTGGTGGTGAGCACTCTTTAATACTCTCCTCCAATTCTGGACCCTATACCTTCCACACTTTCAAATGGACATTTTCCCTCCCTCGTCCCTCTTTCTCAAACACTAGGCATGCTTCATGCCTTCAAAACAACCCAAGAGTGAGAAGCACATCTAGATGGAAGTTGCCAGGAACTGAGGTTGTTGTTCATGCAGGAAGCCTTGGTTCAATCTTGAGAGACAAATCATACAGTGTGTCTTCATCCATAATCAAGGTCTTATCCAGAAGATACTGTGTGACCTGGATACGAAAACAGTAGATCACATGATTACAAATTAGAGTAGAATTAGATTACATAATAAATGTTTAAAACTGTTACAAAAACTCTAGAAAGTGCAGGGTCTCATGATTAATCTGAAGTCCAATATGCTCATATTTTTCATGATAATTATCATAAACTCGTACACACAAAGAAGCAAAATAAAATTAAGGAGTTGAGCAGCTCTCCAACCCCCTGGCAAG